AGAGAGAGAGAGAGACAGCGTGAGCAGGGGAGGGCCAGAGAGAGAGGGAGTCACAGACTGAAACAGGCTCCAGGCTCCTAGCTGGCAGTCAGCACAGAGCCCGACGCGGGACTCAAACCCACGAACCACAACCACGAGATCATGACCTAAGCGACAGTCGGACGCTTAAACGACTAAGCCACCCAGGCGCCCCTGGCTTCCCTCAATCTTACAATTCGTACCCAGCCAGGCCCTCCCTCTTAAAAAGCTACTCATTTGCATCCCACACAGCTACTCCAATGCAGGATTGAGGCTCTCCCAGACCTGCAAGATCAAAATCTTTGCTTTTTCCAGGGTCCTAGGGAATTCTAAAGATATTTACATTTAAGAAGCCCAGATATAAAGCATTTGGGGCATGCCCACGCAGTCAGCCTCAGCCCTCAATTATATAAGCCCAATTCACACTTGAAAAAGCCCAAGACACCGGCCAAGGCTCTCTAGAGGAAAGAGAACCAGAAAGGCTGATTAATTTGCCCAAGGTCATGCAGTGGCATTAGAATTTGAACCCAAGACGTGGGAATTCTTTTGCACCATGTGCCCTCTTTCCATGTAAGAACTAACTCTCCATCCATAAGGCACAATGCTAACGCAGATGCTCTAAGAAACAAAACCCTCATGCTTTTTAAAATTAATTCCCTGGTCACCTTGCAGGGTCCTCAGTGAGGTCTGATGACACACATTGGTTCACCTGGGCTCGACTCTACTTCTGGGCAGCTGCCTGCCATTCAGAAGCTCAAGAAGTGGAGTAACCCAGGACTGCCGCCAGCTGTTGCTGGAGATGAAGTTTTTAAAGTGGAAGTAAGCCCCAGCAATAGCACTGCTAGGAATTTACCCAAGGGATACAGAAATGCTGAGGCATAGGAGCACATGTACCCCAATGTTCATAGCAGCACTCTCCACAATAGCTAAAACATGGAAAGAGCCTCAGTGTCCATCAACGGACGAAGGGATCAAGATATGATTTATCTACACCATGGAATACTACATGGCAATGAGAAACAATGAAATCTGGCCATGTGTAGCAACGTGGATGGACCCTGAGGGTGTTATGCTGAGCAAAATAAGTCAGGCAGAGAAGGATAAATATCATATGTTTGCACGTATAGGAGGATTAGGAGGAACTTAACTGAGGAACAAGGGGGAGAAGAAGGGGAGAAATGGTGGGGGAAAGGGAGAGAGGCAAACCATGAGAGACTCTTGAATGCTGACAAAAACTGAGGACTGATGGACGTGGGGGGGGGGAGAGGGGATGTGCATGGAGGAGGGCACTTGTGGGGATGAGCACCGAGTGTTATGTGGAAACTAATTTGACAATAAACTATTTGTAAAAAAATAAATAAATAAAATAAAGTGGAAGTAAGCCTTAAAACACACCTTATAAATTTACACTCCTTTTCACCTACTAACACCTTCCCCGTGAGGCTGGCACTGCCTAAGGAGAGTGCACGACGGGGTGTCAAGCTAGAAGGCATCTGTTTAGCTCCTCATCTCTGACACCTAGCCAGAGAGCAAACCCCAGTCAGTATGGTGGCTTCCCAGGGCAGGAGCCCCGCCTACCTGGCTGGGAAGATGCCCAGGCCTACAGGACTGGGTTTCCCAGGTGCTCCAATGGGGATGTGAGCAGAAGCTGGGGGCCCAAACAAAGGTTAAATGGCTGGGGAAGGGGAGGGGGGGAGGGGGGAACTAAAGAATACAGAATCACACCAGTATGACTGGTCTGCTGTATCCCAGACAAACGTTTACACTCAATAGCTCCAAAATTCTTGGGCATACCACATGCAAGGCATAATGATACAGTTGAGTGGCAGAGGAAAAGATGCCAGGCTTGGATGTCAAAAATCTGGGTTCGTATCTGGGCCAAACTGGGTCTTGTGAAACAATCCACACATGGGGTGGCTGTGAAGCTTCAACCTGGAGCACAGAAATGGGGCCTGGGCAGAGGAATTTTCACGAGTCGTAGTTCAAAGTTTGGAAGTCCAAGCAATTATGGTGATTAGTTTTGTAAGTGTCCAGATGGAAAGAACAAAAAAGAAAGTGTTTCACGATTTCAGACTGAGAATTCTGATTTTTATAAATTCCTAACAAACCCAATACATCTCAAGTTCATTTTAAACGGCATATTTCAGATTAACTATGGCGATGCTTTCCAGACTTTCATATGTATATGAATCATCTGGGGATCTTGTAATCTGGAGTGGGAACTGAGAGTTTTCATTTCTTTTTGAATGATTCATTTATTTTTGAGAGTGCTCAGAATCGGGGAAGGGGTGGGGTAGGGTGGGGCAAGGTACCGAAGATCAGAAGCGGGCTCTGCAATGACAGCAGCAAGCCCAATGCAGGGTTCAAACTCAGGAATCAGGAGATCATGACCTGAGCTCGGAGATCATGAAGCTCAACCGACTGGGCCACCCAGGCGCCCCTAGAGTTTTTATTTCTAGGAGCTCTGGTAAAGCTGCAGGTCCCAGAGTCCAAACTTTTGAGTAGCAAGGTTCTATGGAATTCCTTAAATAGTAAGAGACACATCCAAGGCAAGTATAATTTGATTTGAAAAGGATATCCAGGAAATGTCCCAAGAGAACATCCAGGAAGTAGTATACAGAACTACCCTGGCTAGCAAGGTTTCTTAAAGGGAGGCACACCAGAGAAAGCCAATAGCATTCTTGTAAATTGGCCTCAGGCCCTATTCAAACAAGTTTGCACTCTATATCACATTCTCTAGGCAGGTGAAAGTACTCTTTAGTGATCATAAAAAAAGCATGCTTCTGACAAAATTCTCAAAAGCAGGGTGGTGTAAGAAACAAAGCGTCCTAGAATATTTCAAGTTCATGACCACTGCACCAGCTATAGCCAAGCTAGGCTCTTTAAGATCATTCTTAAATCCCTGTTTTACCCATTTACCTCCTCTCCGTATATTACATTTTATGCTGTTACTGTTGACAGCTGTATTTTTAAAAAAAAAGGCCTCTATCAGGTTGCCAGATATGGATAATTCCTAAGTAGTAAGATGAATGGGACTATCAGGAAGCATCTTATACTGACTGACTCATCTTAATGCGTGCGCCGGGGAGTAAGGGGATCAATAAAACATCCAAGGGGCTCATATTTATGGGACTGGAAATTAAATTCTGGCTCTTCTTTGGATCAGAAACACTAACACAGGGGTGCCTGGCTGGCTCAGTTGGTGGAGCCTCGCATCAACTCCTGATCTCGGGGTTCTATGTCTGAGCCCCATGTTGAGTGTACAGATTACTTAAAAATAAAATCTTAAACAAAAAGAAATACTAACATAGAAGATCCTCCATATCCCCTGAAATGAGATTCGTGGAGACAAAGTGTGAGGTAATCTGATCTCCAGCCGCTTTTAGCACCGGAACACATCTGTCCACCATGAGACACAGGCCAGCCTTGCACGCTGGCTTAGAATAACATGTATGTTTATTACAATTCCTGTCATGACCCTCAGGCCCGGCTGGGCTTATGCTTAAACTATAGAGTCATTATGAGCCAGAGTGTGATGTCAAGCGGTAACACCAAACTGCCCAGAAACTGCTGAGTATGCACCAATCGCCCAGCAAGGAAGGGATTCCCCTCCTGTGCACTGGCCCGCTACTGGGGAGATGCATGCTCTGACAAGAAATGTCAGGGCCAGACTGTCACCTGTGCCCAGCATCGCTAATTCATCCGTGCAATCACAAGGCTGCTTCTCTGTTCCACGCCCCTGGCGCAGTCCCTGTTCACTCACAACGTGAGGCTACATACCAGGCACGGTCATGATTTCACCCATTTGGGAAGACGGAGTCTCAAAGCAAATTTCTGGATGAGACTGCCTGGTTTTTCTCCACTTGCCCGTTGGGGGAGGAAATTAAGTTTTCCAACAGGCCACCTTCTTACTTAGGCCAGCAAAAGCCCGAGTTTTCCAAAGAGCAGTACAGGAGAGAGGCTAACAGAAAATGTTTTCCCTTCTCATCTTGAGGCCTGCAAAATGTTTCCATTTAGGAAGGGGAAAATTGAGGCCCCAGGAGGTTAAAATAACTGACCCAATGTAGAGCCCAAGCTGTAACTAACTTCATAGGAGGCCTTATTAAACTAACAAGGGAGGATACTCCCTCCCAGGAAGGAAGCAGGCCTGCATGTCTCCACTGCTCCCCACTTAGATTCTTTTCCAAACTCCGGACTTAGTGCTGACACAGACCTAACTCCCACCTGTCCTTTGAACATATGGTGATAAACCCCAGCTATTTCCTTCACAAAAAGCAAATGTCCAACATTTAATGTTTTTGCTAAGATGCCTAAAACCTGCAGATGACAGAGCTGGCAAATATAAACAAGCTTTTAACTAACTCTAGCAAATTCATTTTGCAACGGAAAAAAATCATCAAGCCCTATTTCCTCCCTGTCCCCAACCTCCAAGGCCCATTGCAAGGAAATGTAAGGATTTTCCATTTCTTAGGAAAGCAAAAGGAAAACGCCAATGTTTCCCGGGACACCGGACTACTATGAGCATAGGCTGAACTTTTCTCAGAGGGATTCACCGCGTGTCTGCAAGAAGTTCAGGCTCACACGCGCCACTCAGCCACCGGCCGAACCTTTGCGCCCAGCCAAGTCTTGACTGGCGGGGGGAGAGTGCGCCTCTGGGTCAGGCCTCGGTTTCTGGAAGTTCATGATCTCCTCCTTGCAATGGGAGGTTTGGGTGCGGCTTTTTAATGGGCTCCCGCAATTCCCAACTCCGGACTCACAGCTTGAGCGTGACGCTTCTGCTCTGCGAGTGCCGGGCTCATGCACACACCTGTGAACACACACTCCCTGCGAGCTCTCCCTCTTTACGTGCCCTCGTGGTTTGGAATTTGGGCCAGAAACTTGGGGTGCGCGTGAAGGCGGAAGCGATTTGTGTCCCTCGGCCAAGAGCCGGCTGGCTCTCAGGGACGCGGGGGCTAGGCGCGCGTCGTGTCCTGGATACTCACCGGGACCTCTGCAGCTGCTCCAAGGCGCTGGTGCTGGCCCCCTGGCCCGGCTGCTCCAGGGAGCAGTAGTTCTGTGAGGACTGCCTGGAGAAGGCGATGGGCAGGATTCCCTGAGTGAACGAGTTGAGGCGACCGCGACTGCCGCTCCCACTCCCGGGGGTCCCGGAGACCAAGAAGGCGGCCGCCGGCACCTGCACGCTGGAAAAGGCATCGTCCTCCTCCAACTCCTCCTGCCCGCCGTCCCCCGGCCCGTCGGGCAGCTGCGGCGGGGCGCAGGAGGCGAGGGGCGCCGGCCGGGACAGCTGTAGCTGCTCCCCCGACGCCCGGCCCGCGCCCACGGAGCTCACGAAGCCCCGGGCCGTCCCGGGGCCGGACCCCGGAGCGTGGCCGCCGGGGGCCAGGGGCGGCAGCGGCGAAAGCTGCGGGAGGCAGGGGCCCCATCCAGCTGCTACCGCCGCCGTACCCGCCGCAGCTAGCGCGTTGCAGCCGCCTCGCTCGGCGGCGGCGAGCAGGCTGAGCCGAGTCCTCGCGCCGCAGGCGCTGCCGGCGCCGGGCTTGGCCGCGCCGCTCTCCTCGCCGCCGGCCCACTCCTCGTCTTGCAGCGGCGGCCGTCCGTCTAGCGAGATGTTGGTGAGGAAGGAAAGAGCAGCCTGGCGGCGCCGTGGGTCCATGCGCGGCTTCCTGGGGGGCTCGGGCGGCGGCGGCTGGGCTGGCGCGGCGGCCGCGGGCTGGGGCGGCTGCGGCGGCTGCTGCAATCTGCCGGTGCCCGCGGCGTCGGTGCGGGTGCTGCTGCTGCAGGCGGCCGTGACGGCGGTGGCGGCCGTGGTGGCGGCAGTCGCCGCCATTGTGTCCGTCTGCGGCGATATTTCCGCGATGCCCGGAGAAGCGATCGGCGCCCGAGTGCTAAGCGGCGAGCGCGAGCGCCGGTGACCCGGGCTGGGCAGGGCGCGGGGCGCGGGCGGCGTGCGCGGCGGCCCGGCCCCCCCGCGGGCGGGCCATGATCGCCCCTTAGTGCTGCGGCCGGGGACGCCGCCGCCCGGGCCCACGCGCGCGGCTGGTTAGCTCGCTCGGTCGGTCGCCGGGTGGCTAGCTCGCTGGCCGGCCGGCCGGCCGCCGATCGCCAGGTCCCAAGCCCTCCCCGCCCCTGCGGTCTTCGGCTTCCTAGACCCGGCGCCTGTATTTATAGGTGCGCGCGCCCTGCGCTCGCGCTCCGAAGCGCTCTTTGCAATAACACAGTATCACGTGTGGGGAATGAAACCTGGGAGGAAAACAAAGCCGCAGGCGGCGGCCGCGGAGGCAGGCGGCGGGAGGCGAGGGGCCCGACAAGGAGGAAGAGGAGGAGGAAGGGAAAGCCGAGGGGGTGGCGGGGCGGGGGTTCTCTGCGGCAGGTCCAGGTAGTCGGAGCTTCCCGCGGGGAGTTGGTGGCTCCCGGGGCGCGCGGGAGCCAGCCAAGGGAGGCGAGCACGTTTTGCCGCCGCGCCTGCACTGGGGATCGGGAATCCGGGGGTGCAAGCAGAACCCAGGAATCCCGGCTTGAGGATGTGGGCCCGGGAGAGTTGTGGGTTTGCAGGGCAGTTACTTGGAGGGAAGCCGAAATTTGGCCCACGAGCTTGTTAGCTGGACCCCGTGCTGGATTGGGCCCTGAGAAGTAGGTCTTTTTAAATAATTATACGGGTAGGTTCACGACCCTTCACGACCCCTTACGTGGACAGTCCCACCTTAAAGCTGTCACTTAACCACTGAGGTTGTGTCTCATTCATTCGCAAGCCACTGAGATAATTGCACACCCCTTGGTGCATAGGAGCCCAGACGCATGTGAACATCTGTATGAGCTGACTAATGTATACATTCCCACTTGATGGTGCTGTCACTTTTCATCTCTTTCTTAGCAAAAGCCAACATCAATTTTTACTCTGTGAAGACCGAGATAAGCTAAAATGGCTTCACGCCCCCTTTCCCTAGTCACCCTGCAAATGTTGTGGAAAATGATCTCTTTTTATCCCATGTAAACTGGAACAATACGCACACTTTCATTTATTTCATAAACATCCCTTTGGCACCTACCATGTCTTCTTTTAAGATGGGTTCCTGCCCAAGGATTCAATGACTGTTCCAGACAGCAAGTCCTGACCTGGGAGGAGTCACAGAATGCTGCACCTTGGACCCGGCCCTAACAAATGCCAGTGCTGGCTGGGGGGCGGGGCAGAAGCCACCAGGAACCGTCTGAAAATGTGTACCGGTTTCCTATGCAGTAAGAAACAATTGTCACACTTTATTAAGCTCTGCGATGTCTAAGACACCTCTCTACACTTTTCTGAGGAAGAGGCAATGCGTTTAAGATCAAGGGGATTAATTTAATTAAAGGTTTAAATTTAGCCCTGGTACTAATGGGTAACTGTACATTGAAATTCCACTCCACTTCAAGTTCAGGAAAGTAAATTGAGTAATGTAGAGCAAATACACCCTGTATAGAGATGGGCAGCCAACTTGGAGTATATGAGATATGGGTGAGTTTCAGGTTACATTTGTTTAGGACAAACAGGCATGTGGCCCTTTGCATGAAAAAAATTGCTCATATTTTATTTTATGCCGTTTTTAGGCCTTTGAAACAGTGGAGAGTGGGATCCATCCTTACAGCAGCTAAGTCAAAGCTTGGTGACCAGCTCTGTGAAATTTCATTAATTATTTTGTTTAACTACCTTGAAACTTCCAAGAGGCTTTATTACCATTAACTTAATTTGCATGACCACTGGCCTGGTTGTGCCAGGAAGCAGCAGTAAATTAAAGACACCCCATGAACTATTTCTTATCACAAAAGTGATAAATGTTAATTGCACAACATTTAGAGAATAAAGTAAGTAAAGAAATTTGGATTTTTTTAAAGTTTATTTATTTTGAGAGGGAGACAGCACATGTGCGGGAGGGCAGAGTGAGTGAGAGAGGGAGGGAGGGAAAGAAAATCTCAAGCAGGCTCCAAGCTCTCAGCACAGAGCCCCACTCTGGGCATGAGCTGAAATCAAGAGGCAAGGCTTAACCAACTGAGCCACCCAGGTGCCCCAGTGAAGAGAAGTTTTAATTAAAAAGAACCACTAATGATTTCATCTGCTACAGGGTTAACTTAAACTTTTTATTTCTGTCCTATATTTTTAAACAAGTGAAAGCACACAATTCATATCTTAGGATTTTTGCTTGCTGTGTTGCAGTCATCTTTTCATTTAGAATATTCTTCTACAGAATGATTTTAATGACTAATAGTGTTCAATTTAATGAAGAGATTATAGTTTTTAGACCTATACCCTAGGGGCACCTGGCTCAGTCAGAAGAGCATCTGACTGTTGATCCTTGGGTTGTGAGTTCAAGCCCCATGTTGAATGTAGAGATTACTTAAATAAATAAGATGTTCAAAAAATGATAAAAATAAACCTGTACCCTACATTGAACATTTAGGTTGTTTCCAGTTTTGCTTTTATAAAGAGTGTGGTGATGCCTTCCTTTGTTTTTCTAAGTCTTGCTACCATCCAATATTTTCTTAGGCTAAGTAAATACAGAAGCAAATGGTGTATCATGCTTTTAAGGCGTCCAGTCCAGAAAGGCTGCCCCAGTCTGCTTCCTCACACTCTTGCCAGCAACATCAATTTTTTCATTAATATTCATTTCTTTGTCCATTTGACATAACTCTTTGCCTATTTTAAGTGTCAAACATCCAAACTAATTTCAAATACTTATTAAGGCATCAAACAAGAATCAATATTTTATTTAACCAACACACTGTTCCGGTGCTCAATCCTCTTATAGGGATCATGAGAGAGAAGGTTTACTGCTCACCTACTGTGTGCCAGCCACAGAATACTTCTAATCCTTTGCCCTCTGCAAGGAAGGGGTGGTGGTGTGTGGTTATCAATATTTACAGATGCGGCTCAGTAAAATTAAGTAATTTGCCCAATGACACCCAGCTCTTACACTGGGCCAGTGTACAAACTGGTCTGATTCTAAGACCCATACATGGTCCTGCGCCCTCTGCTGGTGAGGACGTATGATGGGGGAGTGCATCTCCAGATTTAATCTATTTGTACTTAAAAGTCAACTGTAATGAAAATAGTACAAAATTTGGAGGAAGAGGATATCTGAGTTTCAGGAGCAAGTCTCTTAACCTCTCCAACCCAATATTCTCAGCAGGCTATTCTGAGATACAAATGAGACTACTCATGAAGCATTTTAATAAATCTTAAAGTACCTTTAACAACGTCTGTTGTTGGGGTTCCTGAGTAGCTCAGTTGGTTGAGCCCCAGTTTCAGCTGAGGTCATGATCTCGAGGCCTGGTTTGTGAGATGGAGCCTGGTCAGGCTCTGGGCTGACAGCGTGGAGCCTGCTTGGGATTCTCTTTCTCCCTCTCTCTCTCTGCCCCTCCCCTGCTTGTGCTTGCTCTCTCTCTCTCTCAAAATAAATAAATAAACTCAAAAAAATAAAATTAAAATTTTTTAAATTGTCAGTTGTTATTTATACCAACGCAATCAACCTACTCCCTGAATTATTCCAAACTCACTTATTTTTCACCTATTTAATCACTAATTAAATATTATTGAGCAACTTCTATGTACATAGCACCACCTTGCACCAAAAACAAAAAAAGAAGCGTGGCCCTTTGCCCTTGTGCCTTCTATAGCAAAACTGGGGGAGGCAAAAGCTCAGGACACATTTAAATAAAAATGCAAGGCAGACTCCTATTAAGTGATCCATCAAAGGAGCAGTCACACCGGTACTGTGAATGTTATCAAAATATGAAAAGGACCTTTTTATTTGAGATGAGGACTGTGGGGGTGGCCTCAGGCAAGATCCCGGATTTCCACCAACCTGGATGCTAAGGAGGCAAGGAGGGGACACTTTAGGAAGAGGAAGTTCTGCATACTAATTCCTAGAAGACTGTGGGCACAGAGGACTAGAACTTGAAATGTAATTCTTGGTTACAATGTAATTTTTTTGGTTTTGGGGTCCCCCCCACACACTTACTTTAATATTGCTTCTTTCCAGTGCCCATTCTAAAAACTTTTTTTGTATGCAACCAACAGTTTTGATTGACATGCACAGGAGTCAATTTTAAAAAGAAAGAAAAAGAACCTACAAGTAATCACTAACCCTTAAAAAAATAATTTTTGCAGGGGGCACCTGGGTGGCTCAGGTGGTAAGCAACCAACTTGGGCTCAGGCCATGATGTCACAGTTCTTAGCTCAGAGCCTGGAGTCTGCTTCAGAGTCTGTGTCTCCCTCTCTCTCTGCCCCTCCCCTGCTCATGCACTGTCTGTCTCTCAAAAATAAACATTAAACATTTTTTCAACAATTTTGCAGAGCAAGAAGTCTGAAAATTAGCTTAGAGATGACAGTGTATCTATCACTCTTAACAAAAACCATCTGACACTGTGGAAATAACAAGGGGCTGTGATGCCAGTTTAGGCTGTTACAAATTTGTAATCTCTGGGGCCTCCAGCTTAGGAAAATTAGAAACTTTTTGCATTGGTTGCTTCATCTCTAAGGGTAGGTTTAGTAATATTTTACCTTGCAGAGTTATGAGGATTGGTGATAATATAAATTATATAACTAGCAGAGTATCTTAAGTAGGTAGCTATTAGTAGAAAAATGCAAAATATAGAAGGCGCACACAACAAAGGCCGGGTTTTTTTGGTTCTAGGTTTTTGCAGTTTTCACTAATCCTGCCAGACAGCCAAAACCACAAGAAACGTCAGATGCAGGCTCCAGTTCAGATCAGATTATTTTACTGCATGTTCCATACAAGTGCCGCCGCTACCCACTGCTAGAACTCACACCTAAACTAGTAGATCTAAAATACAGGCACGGTGCCAGTGAGAGACCTGCTGCTTTCCTCCATCAAATCAAAGTTAGATGGCCAAGACTAGAAACGGAGAATGCCTGAAGAGGTGGTCCTCAGCACCCCAGCTCTTCTCCCTGAAATCTCCCTTCCCCATGGGGACTTCTGATCATTTCTGTCAGCCAAGGAGAAAGGCAGGTAGATGAGAGGTGTCCCTGTTTTCCCCTTTGACAATTCAGCATAGATACTTTATTTTTCTTCCCTAATTTCTCCAAGACATCTGAGACCAGATGCAACACTTAAAAAGACTTGACTAGGGTCACCTGGGGGGCTCAGCCCGTAGGACGTCTGACTCTTG